CTTATACCAGCTGAATATTTGGCACACTGTCACATTTTAATTATGCGGGTATTATATCCTGACGAATTTTTGTCATGCGTCATTTGTTTGTATAGATAAATAACAAACATGCTGCTGTTTATAGATTGTGTGACTCAGTGCCACTGTAAAAATAACAGTAAAAGAAGAGAATGAATTTTAGACAACAATGCTGGAAAGTTGTTGCACAACACTATGTAGCTTATGTCCTGATTACTTTTCATTCACTCATAGAATCATAGAATATCAGGGTTGGAAGGGACCTCAGGAGGTCATCTAGTCCAACCCCCTGCTCAAAGCAGGACCAATCCCCAACTAAATCATCCCAGCTAGGGCTTTGTCAAGCCTCACTTTAAAAACCTCTAAGGAAGGAGGTAACCCTAGGTAACCCATTCCAGTGCTTCACCACCCTCCTAGTGAAAAAGTTTTGCTAATATCCAACCTAAACCTCCCACAATTTATGGTTTATTAAGTGAAATCAGTTAATTCTGAAAAGTGAAGTATTCCTGATCAGATCTTGGAAGCTAACCATATATCTTGTTGTTCAACTCCAATAAAATAAGAATATAGGAACTCATCTCTTATACGGTGCCACAAGGTTTCATTGTAGAATTCAGTTTGTGTTTTTTATACTGCTTTCTGAGCGACAAAAACCCTTCACTCATCATATTCTTCTTTTCTGTAGATTAAGAAATAATTTTTTTTGTCTTTTTTAATTCTTATTTTCTGTGTGTATAACATTTTGTGCTCTATTTCTACAAGAGAGTGAGGAGAAAGGAGAGATTTTTAAATTTGATTACTTCTTTTTGTACAGGGGAAAACCAAACAAATGGGAGCAATTTAATATTTGAAATGGAAAGGACAAAATGCTTGTATTTTCCAGATGTGCCTTTTTATAAGGTTCCCATTTCTCCTGAGGTACACGTGAGTCAGGGAATCTGCCGAAAATAGGTTCTAATGTGCACTGGCAGACTCTATCTTTATCTCAGAAAGAAAAGCAATCTCCAAGAATTGAAGGATTCACTATTACCACTGAAACATAAACATGAACTCTACAGAGCACCTTTAATTAAATGTAAATGCAAGTGAAATTTGATCTTGTATTTCAGAAATGTGGAATTGTTTTGAGTACTGGTGATATCAGTTTTGTGAGTGTAATGATCATTTTCCCAATTTCATATTGAGTATGAATGCCATCATTCATACTATAGATGAGTAAAAGAAAAGACTGGTAAGCTCTTAGGTGACCAAATTTGGTTTTGTACCAATTCTCATTGGCTGTTAAGTTTTGTCTGGCTGATTTCTCAATAATGCTGCCTTGGCATCATTAAATGTTCTACTAATATATTCAGTGGTAGCTTATGTAAATGAATGAGTGCTAAATTTAGCCCACATTATAATGGAATTTGTAAATTCAATTATATTAATTATCCACCTATCTCTGTTATTTCTTTTCTGGCTAATTTACTTGCAGAATGTGAGTGCTTTCACATAATATGCATGTTGTTTATGGCTAGTATATTTAGCCCATCCTCATTGTGTTTTCAATATATTCTCTTCCCTATTAGGTCTTCAACTCTATTTTATGATAATTGATCATTTGATTTCTATGAGTGATGATAATACAAAAAAACCCATTGGTTTGATTATGGACTTTGATCTGTAAAATTGCCAATTACTGCTAGTTTAAAGTTAATTTAATTCAAAATGGCTCTTTGTAAGTTATGTGATCAATAAAGTTAAAGTAGTTTTGCTTAATGACAAATATGAAGTTAAAATGCCTGTGAGGAAAATATACTAAGGAATATTAAGTCACTTTTTTGTGATGTTCCATAAAGTTTTTCAGAAGGGATATACAGTTTATTTTGTTAGTAGGAAACTACAATCTTTTGATTTGGGATTTTTTTAAATGTTTTACTAGTGATCTGCAGTTTCTGTGTCTGATGGTCTGGGCCACTAAGTGTTCACTTTATATCTGTAGATTAATGTGGCCAAATTTTTCAAAACTGGATCCCTAACGTCAGGTTCGTAAATCCATATGTAAGTACTTCAGTAGAACTGCCCTGTTTTTCAAAAGTGCTGAGATCTGCAGATCCCAGTGGAATTTGAGAATGCTGAGTCCTTCTAATAATCAAGCCACTTTTATTCAAGTTCATAAGTATGGCTTCAGGAGCCTAACTTTAGACACCTACGTTCAAAAATTTTGGCCTGATAGGAATAAATAAACTTAAAGCTTCAGACCATCAGACCTGGAAACTGAAAGTTACTAGCACAACATAAAAGAAATCCCAATTTTTTAAAAAAGTTTCACTTTTAACCAAAAATAAATTCTGATTTTACCTATTTTTCATATTAAATAGTATGTTGACTTAATCTTCTGATACAGAGGTCACTGAGAACTGTATTTCAATGTAAATCAGGAGCAAATTGTACATCGTTTGTTAGACAAACACTGAAAATGAATGTTGCTCCGAGCATTATTTTCATTAATCATGTAACTAATGCAGCAATGCTGTTTATAGGATAAAAGCTTTCCTTGGTAATCTGACTATTCCCTGGAAAGACATATTGTAAATTTAACTGGACTGTGGATGTGAAATTCCTCATTATGGGATATGCTTAATCAGGTCTTGGAAAAATAGATTCATTACTATTGAGTAGGCACCTTCATATGGTAAGTGTGGAGCCTAAACTATCAATTTCTGTAAGAAAAAATCTGAGATTTCTTTCCTTTATGACTGCAAATATAACCTTACAAATAGGAACTCATGCAGTGTTATCTTCCCTCGTCTGTAGACACAACCCAACTGTCCTTGCTGCTGTTCATAGCTTTCCGATCCAGGAACAGATTAAAATTACCAGTTATGATCACTTTCCCAGTTGCTATCAGAACTCTGTAAAAGTCAGCAAAACTGACAAGAAACTTGTCATATTCACTCTGCAGATGGTTGGATGAGGACCCAAAGATAGAGGTTATGGAAGAGGAGCGTAGCAAAGGCCCCTCCCTGCAAGAGTCAGTATTTGCTTTTCATATGAGAGTATGTGTAGGGGAGAAATCCCATCTACCTCCTTTTGCTGCAGCCAGGAGGCTCGGGCAGGACTATAGCAACAAAGACTTCGTCATCACAATCACCACTGAATAGCTGAGAGAGAGAGAGAGAGCTCCTCTCCTCCAGCAGCCATAAAGAGGAGATGAGGCTTCAAATTTGACACCTACCAGGCAGAGACTGATATGAAAGACATTTCTCTTGAGTTAGGATCCAAGAATAGTGCTTCAGTAGGAATCCAATACCCTCCCTCATCTTTTGTATCTGCCTATGGCTAATAGAGGGCTGGTAAATACTTCAAGCCCTGTATTTAACTCTGTTTGCTCCTGTCTTAAAATGTAGCCATGAAATGGACCTTAAATTACCTTAAAAGTATTTTCCTCTACTCCTGACATTTCTGCTGGCTCTCAATAAGTAAATTGAATGTTTCAATATGAGCAAACATATCCAGCATAGCTCTAGGGTTTACCCTGCCCGAAATGAATGGAGGGAATTATGTGAAATGGCAGGGAGTCATCCAGAACCATTAGGTTTTTGTATCACAACATTCGGCTTCTTTTCAAATAATGTAATTTCACATGGTCTATCCATGTTCTCATAATAGCATGAGTGTGTAACTATGATTTAGAAATTATGGATTGCCTTCCAAGACGCTAATAAAAATAAGGTCTTGTTTACAATGAATTCTAGTAACTAGAACAATCTATAAATGGAGCCATGTTAAGTAGAAATGAAACACCAATATCAAGATTCCATGTACAATACATGCAAAAAAAGGCTAAGCTATTTCAAACATTTGAATTGTTCCCATGGCAGTGATCAGGAAACTTGGCAAACTCACAGTGTGTATTGTAATTTAAAGTATTAGTGTGTGGCTAACGTTTTTATAATCATTTGTTTGGAAGCGTGTCGGATAGCAATCTAATAAAGTATAACGAGAATGGGTTAAGGAGGGGGGGGGCATATAACATGAGTGTAAATGGCAAAAAAGGAAATTGCAGAGAAACCAAAAAAAAGCAAAGGTGGGTTTTATCTTCACCAGCAGGGGAAGGATGTTATGAACCGAAAAACAGTACTTAGTGAGTGTAACACTGCAGTATAACTTTCAATGCAGTGATTGAAAAGCTGCAATGATTTCACAGCCAACACGCTGTTGAAATCTAGCCTGAAAACAGTGTATGAACAAGCCTGTAATGTCCTTGTATTCTTTCAGCAATATGAATTTTTGTCATCATACATATAGCTTGAATTATATGAAAATAAATCATTTGACTTCCGTGATCAATTGGAATACTTGCTTGTATTTGCCCTTCCATTCGCTTCTGAAGTAAACCGACAGCCCTGTTACCTTGTTGTGTGATTTCCTATAATGTAGAGGGATAATTTTTTGTAATGTTTTTCATCAACTCAGAATGTTATTTTGAATAATGTTGAAGATTATCAAATATCCAGTAATAAGATTAAAACTATTTATAATCTGTTTAATCTATTCCTTTTTCTTTTTTAGCGTGGTGCTTTTTCTAAAAATACAAAATATGAAAAGAAAAAAAGAAAAGACAAGAAGTAGAGCTGTAATTCAATGTACTTTTTAAACCATGTAGTGTTTAGGGGCGACAGCAATTAGTACAGGCTGATAATCAATATGATATAAAGTATAGGGATATAAAATTTGACAAGTTCTTTCAGTAGACTTTTTCTGAAATATTGAGATAGTTAATCAATAACTCTTGAGAGACTTGTTGTCAGCAGTAAAAATTAGGTTGTAAGTGAAAAGCTAGAAGCAAAACTGTATTCATAATGGCAAAGTTTGAGAGGAAGTTTTCAGGAATAAAGCAGATAAAGATTCACAGCAGTATATGAAATCATACATGGACAACCAGTTCATCAAAATCAGTTCATCAGTAACATGTTCTATTCAAAATTCATTTTTTCCAGCACCTGCCACCTCCATTACCCAGCAAAACTCCACCACCACCTCCTCCAAAGACTACTCGAAAGCAAACATCTGTTGACTCTGGGATTGTCCAGTGAACAAGAAAGCATTTCTCCAAAGATGAAGCTGTAATATTTCATTTCCCTAAATATTTTAAGGTATATAACGGTTACCTCATTCACGCCTGTAGTGTCTAACATTTAGTGAAATGATTCTAACTCTGAACGGAACTCATTTGTAACAGTAAATCAGTTTTCTAAAGAGATCATGCCACTGGAATAAAGCTGTCACAGGATAAGGTGACCCATTGCTTGGGCGGAGCTTGTGACCTATTTTCAAAGCAAGGGGGCATTTGTCAACTGATAATACACTATTCCTTATTCCAGAACATTTTGCTTTGTCATACCAAACTACTTAACAGAAAATAGAAATGGATACTGGTGTGTAAAAATGACCGTTGGGCACTATGGGCCTGATCCCAACACCTGTGGAAGTCAGTGAGAATACTCACATTGATTTCAGTGGGTATTGGATTGGGCCTAATAACAATACTAAGAAGCAGCATTATGATAGCTTCAAATAAAAAATGTGTTCAGCGCATTACACATTCAGAAACCTGATTTTCCCGTAGCTTTTTTAATTGCTCTGTGTTATAAATAAGCTGATTTCTGATGAGCTTTTTTAAAACTTTCATTAGTGGTTGGGCACTCCTCCTTCTGTCTGATACCATTTTAAATTAAGATAACTTTTTAGCTACTGAACAGGCACTAATTTATAGGAAAATAAACCAAGTATACAAATATGGGACCTGATGTGATTCTACAACTGAACAGTTGAACATAAGAACAGGAAGAGCTTTTTTTATAATGTGTAATATTTTAGGTGGATTAGGACAAATTGAATGTTATCTTTTTGTCCCTGTGTCATCATTCTGTACAGAAGTTTGTATATATGATGGTTCTTAGAATGTTTTTAATTTTTGCTGCCTGCTTTTCATATAATAATGATTTAATGTATCTGCAAATGATTCCTTATGTGTTTTTAATTTTAACTGCTGGAAGTGTATAAATAGCTAACTTTTTTTTTTTTTTCTTCAAAAATTGGCATCTGAAAATATTGGACAATGATAAGGGAAAAGAAAAGAAAAGTAACTCTTTTTTTTTTATTCCTCGGTGTTTTTTATTGCCCTCACACTATATATTTTTTACTATCTACAATCTTTATAATCTTACAGTAGATTGTTTTAAATACATCACTGACTCAAAAAATTAAGGATTATTTTTAAAAAAAGGTTTGTCTAAGAAAATAAATGTATCTACTTTATATATTTTTCATCCTTTTTACGGAAGTGTTATTAATTTCAGGAGCTGCTTTATTAGATGTCTGTACTTTTAATTTTCTGAAATGCAGATTTATAACAAGAATAATTTGAAACTGCCTCTGATAAATTCTACATTCTTACCCTATTATTTTATAATAGTTACATAACTTGTTTATGATGCATATATGTAGTGTTGAAATAAATAAGAATTTCAACACTATGAGGGTGCATCTTTTATATGCCATTCACATTGCAATTGACAGCCTATTTCAATTTTAAAGCCATTGTTGTATAAACAGCACATAAAATAGCTTAGTTTTACGTGGCGTTTTAATGCTTACTTGATGCCAACCAGATAAAAATACAAGGCAGAGATATGACTTATGGAGCAGTAAAGCAACAACTTCATTAAATATACAAATAGTCCTTGTCAGCTCAACTGGTCAGATAAATATGCAAATTATTTTGCCTTTAAGCACCATGGAGCTTTGGATCACAACCAAGCACTTTTTGTTACAACAGAGAGAACATGCCACCTGACCAGAATTTCTCCATACAACTGAACTTCTTAAACACAAGTTACAAGTTGTCCTCCAATTCCAGTTTACTATTTTTTTATTAATATGACCTTTGCTCCAAAGGGTTTAAGCAGAAAAGGATTCCAGGCTATAGTCAATCAGAAAAGTGTTTTTTTTTTTAAGAAAGAAGAAATTAAATTGCAGTATTGTATGTAGCAAGAGAGTTTTGAATTTAAGAATTTTTTTTTTTTTGTTCTTGCTCTTGTTTTAAGTAACTGTGCTGAAATCTCCTAAATGTCATTGTGTGTGGTAATTTTTCCAGTCATTTTAATTCCACTTAATTTCAGTTAAGAGCTGGCCTCAGAGGGCTAAATTTTCATCTGGACCTTAACACAGTCTCTACTTGTGCACACATGAAATTGCATACATGGGCCTGTGCATACTTTTTGCAGGGAGAAACAGGGCCGGCTCCAGGCACCAGGCACCCAAGCTGGTGCTTGGGGCGGCACCTGGAGGGGGGCGGCGGCGCAGCGCTCTGGCTGCGGGGGGGGGGAGAGCCGAGCCCCAGCCAGGGCTTGCCGCCCTCCCCCCCCGGGCCCCCGGCCCCCGGGGCTCTGGCCGGGGGGGGGGGGGGGGAGAGCCGAGCCCCAGTTGGGGCTCGCCTCCCTCCTCCCGGGGTGGGGGCCGGCGCCGCCCCCCCCCCGCCTGTGGTGGCGAAAAAGCCAGAGCCGGCCCTGGGGAGAAACACTTGCACATGGCTTTTGCAAATTCTAATTTTTGTGCGAATGTTAGAATTTGGTTCTGCAAGACTATTTAGGACAAGTAAAATTTGCACTCATACATGGATCTTACGGTGCAAATTCTAACACTTGCACGGGTACTTATGTGTGTACACACAGTTTTGCAGACACACTGGTGGAGCCTGAAGATCAGGCTCTTAGATTCACTTTGAGACCCAGATTGCTCACCGTGTTTATTACCCAACAGTTTCTAGTAACTTGTACAGTAATTCCTCACTTAACGTTGTAGTAATGTTCCTGAAAAATGCAACTTTAAGCGAAACGATGTTAAGCGAATCCAATTTTCCCATAAGAATTGATGTAAATAGGAGGGGTTAGGTTCCAGGGAAAAAATTTTTTGCCAGACAAAAGGCATTATATAAATTTTAAACAATTTTAAACAAGCAATTTAATACAGGTATGGGGAGGGGTAGTGTGCACGTGCTGTGTGTTTACAAACATACTGTACATACTTGGGAGGTGCCCCCGCCTTACCCCACACAGGCACAGCCCATTGGCACTGCAAACAATGAGGCAGGCAAGGAGGTTGAAGATGCCGTAGGCTAGGAGAAGCACGTTGCGCACCAGCAGCGGCAGCGTCCCCTACTCTGCAACCACAGGCACTGACTTTGCTGGGGGGGGGGAGGAGGGGGAGGCTCAACTCTCGGCCTGCCCACTCCACCCCTTCTCCCAAGCCTCCACCCTTAACCCGCCTCTTCTCCCCCCTCCACCGCCTCCCCCTTTACTCTGCACGCCGTGTCCTCGCTCCTCCCTCCTCCGCCCAGAATCCTGAACGCCACAAACCAGCTGATTGCCACGGGCAGAAGGGAGGGGGGAGGAGCGAGGACATGGCCCGCAGCCTCCCCCCTTCCTCCCCTGCCTCCTGCCCATGGCAATCAGCTGGTTTGCGGCATTCAGGAGGCACGGGAGGGAGGCTGCGCGCCATGTCCTCACTCCTCCCTCTTTCCCCCAGCCTCCTGAATGCCGCAAACCAGCTGATTGCCATGGGCAGGAGGCGAGGGGAGCAGGGGGAAGGCACTGATCTGCGGGGTCCGCCGGCGAGTGGGAGGCTCTGGGGGGGGGCATAGAGGAGCTGATAGGGGAGCTGCCAGCCGTGGATAAAGCAGGCAGCCAAACGACATTATAGCGGAGCATTGCACAACTTTAAACGAGCATGTTCTGTAATGGAGCAGGGTCGTAACATCGAAACAACGTTAAGCGAGAGGACATTAGGTGGGGAGTTACTGTACAAAACCCAGCCACCAAGAATCCCTCCCTTCACCACAGCTATTGCTGGCAAGCCACATTTCACCAAGCCTAGGAACTAATCCAACAACAACCTTCTTACCCATTGATCACGCTGGTAGGATTGTCATTTTTCCAGCAAGATAAACTCTTGTTTCACACTCTAGTGATGTCGCATCAGAACATCCAAATGCAATGTGAGGATACTATATTTAAAAAAAAAAAATTGCAGTATTTTGTAGTATCAAGAGTAGAATGACATTTCGCAGTCCCCGGAATTATATCAGGGCCTGTGAGCATCCTTCAAGCTCTCTTTGCAAGATACAGGCTCATCCTAATAAAACCAAGATGATCCTAAAACTATTGGGACAGGTGACACCCCTCTTGGCCTCGCAGACCAGACCTGCCAAAGGGTGTCACTGTTAGTCACACTCTAGAGTTCAGTTGGTTACTGCTCTGGCCAGTTCCAGCTATCAGGCTCCAAACACGATCTTTTCACCTTTCCTGCCTGGCTGTGGTCCCCAGTATTTTTGCTGTGAGCTACAGTCAACTCATACGTGAAAGCTAGTGATACATTTAGCTGGTTCCCTATATTTTTAAGGGCAGAATGATATTATCAGGAGATGGCTTATCACACGTTCATCACTCATGCAGTTTGATTGTTGTCTCTTAAACTACAAAGATTAAAACATCCTTGTCTAAAATGAAGGTACTTAGTTCCTCCATGGACCCAATATTTCAGACTTTATGTGCATATGAGCCTGAGTTGCAAACAGCTATTGAAACCAACAGAAGTACTGCATCCTCCAAGACTGCAAAATCAGCCGTTGGTGTACACTCAATAAAAAAGAGTCATAATACAGTAATTGGTTTGTTACACAAATCTGCAAAAGCAAAGAAATATTCATGTAGGAGTCCAAAACATAGGCAATCCAAGAATGACCTTCATAATGTTGAATGAACAGCTCGCAGTCTCTAGTTATTGAATGTTTTTTCAAGGATTTCCTGTATAGCAAGGAAATTTAAGTTATTATTTCTTTGCCATTTACCTTGAGATATAAAGGGCAGTTTTCATGTATGTATTTCTGTCATGTTGAACCCAGACCCCCAGTCATTGTACCTGAAAATTTGGATGTTAGCTGGTTGAGCAATGCCAACAGAGACTGCTCCCTTCAAGTTAAAAAACTAGTGACCCCGAAAAAGATTTTTTTTGATGGAGGGTTGGATAATCAGCTGAACATGAGCTCCCAGTGCAACACTGTGGCCAAAAAGAATAATACAATCCTTAGACACATAAACAGGGGAATCTCAAGTAGGAGCGAAGTGGGTATTTTATCATTGCAGTTGATATTGGTGGTTCCGCTGCTGGAATACTGGATCCAGTTCTGATTTCCACGATTCAAGAAAGATGTTGATAAATTGAAGAGGGTTCCGAGAAGAGCCACGAGAATGATTAATGGATTAGAAAACTTGCCTTATATTAATTGACTCAAGAAGCTCAATCTATTTAGCTTAACAAAGAGAAGGTTATTGGGTGACTTGAATCTATAAGTACCTACATGGGGAACAAATATTTCAACCTAGCTTTTCAATCTAGCAGAGAAAGGTATAACACAATGGCTGGAAATTGAAGCTAGACAAATTCAGATTGGGGAAAAAAAGGCATATTTTTTTAACATGGAGGGTTAGTAACTATTGGAACAATTTGCCATGGGTCATGGTGGATTTTCCATCACTGGCAATTTTAAAATCAAGAATAGATATTTTTCAAAAAAATATGTTCTAGGAATTATTTTGGGGAAATTTTATGGCCTGTGTTATACAGGCAGTCAGACTAAATAATCACAACCGTCCCGTCTGGTCTTGGAATCTATGAACAGTAGGCCAGAAATATTTTTAATCAAATTTGTTTCAAAGAGATACTCCAAGCCAATTTTCAGCCATAATAACCAATTTTTTTATGATTGAGTTATAACTCCTGTAAATGCCTCTGATGATTGTGAGGTCACAAATGCTATGTATAAGAATAATAAAGTAAGAAAAATCTGTGTTGCATTAATGCATGAAATATTTTTCATAATGTATAATATAAGTACACACTATGTCTGTGTTGACTATTTGTGTAGAGAGAGCCAAAGGAGGAGCTTGTAGTAGATGATGTTAGTGAGAAACTTAGGGGTCCTGATCCCCTTTAAAGGTAATGATTAAACACTGATCGCCTTCAATAGGAGCAGGATTGAAAACAAAATCTAGGTTGGGTGCAAGTTTCATTGATGTTTTTCCATCTTCAACTATGTCAGTATCAAGTTAAAGAAGATTCCACCATATTATGCTTCATACAAGGTATGTTTCCTAAAAACTTTATGGCCTTGTGTCGGATTGTACTGCCCAGGAAACTTAGTGCAGTTTTGAAGGAAGCTGTCCATTATGATGAATATACATGATCAACTCTTTTTAACCAAAGTTCCCATGGTTACATTAGTCATTCTTAATATAAGTGTTTGATGCAATCAGATGAAATAACTATAAATAAAGGTTTTATAAAGATTACAATTCAGTATTTAAATCTACTTGGACAAGTTTTAATAAACATATGGTATTCTGGGAGTCATGCTCTTATGTTTCAAGTGCTACAGTGCTTAATTAAACACCAGTGTGTTGGGTGCTATTAAACAGGACAAAACAAAATTTTTTATTCCCGGCAGAGATCTTGGGACATAATTGTTTTTCCTTCATCTACTGTATTATGTACTGTGTGCGTGTTCTGCAGCATTTCATATTGTTGTTATTGTTAATCTCTTATATAGCACCAAACATTCATTCAATTTATAAATATGGAGTAAGAAACGTTTGCTTTTTCCCAAATTTTCCTTGGCTTGCTTCCTCTGTTACCAACACTACACCTGCCTTTTGTTCATGTTGTCACTGATGAAAATCCCTTTGCCCTGATTTTGTATTTTGGGCTATTTTTTATTCTCTTGTAAAATTCCCTGTTCCCCCAACTTACTAGATATTAGATTAATTTTCTTTTTGTGTAGTTTACCCATTTTTATTGTGCCATTTGATATACACCTCCGATAATTTAGCTGTACTCTGTTCTATACCTTTAAATTACATGAAAGGTGTTACACATGTAACAGCCACACATTCTATGGGTAAGGTTGGGAGTGGGACCCTCCTAGGGTAGCTCTGAAGGGGATGGTTTCTCAGGAGGCTCCATCCCACCCCAAGTTCACAGGGAGAGTGGACAACTTACCTTGACATTTCTTTGCAGTAGGGCAAACCTTAGACTTTAGAAGGTGCAGCTTTCTTGCTCCTGTGCTGCTGGCCCACTTTGTGCTAGGGAAAGATAGTGTCTTGTCCTGTATTTGTAGAATTAGAAAAATAAGGCATTTTTCAATTTACATCCAGACCACATTCTGCTGGTAGG